TGTAGCATTCTGAGACCTGGTGACAGTGGGTGGGTCTCAGAGCCCAGGCCCCAACCTGAACCAGAATGGCTACACTTACTTTTAGCCCTGTAGTGCAAGCCTGAGTCAGCTGACCTGGCCTCTGAGGCCCTTCCCCCCCCCCCCCCCTTCAACACAGAGGTACCCTTAGCCAGCAAAAGAAAAGAGAGAAGGCTTCATTTTACCTCCCTAACATTGTGCCTGTGGCAGTGGGGGGACAGAGGGCTTGGGGGGAGTGGAAAAACAAGTTCAAGCCTGGTGTGCAGGGAGAGGGGGGATGTACTCAGATGCTGGTATGGGAGGTATACAGAACCCTTGCTAGAGGGATTTCAGTGAGTCCCTGAAGTGGAGGGTGGAATGCAAGTAGCCCTATTGCATGCAGTATTCACCCACGAAAGCTTATGCGCCAATATGTCTGTTAGTCTATAAGGTGCCACAGGACTCCGCTGCTTTTACAGATCCAGACTAACACGGCCACCCCTCCGAGGCATGTACTAGTTTCTCCTTTCCTTCTCTTGCATTGTCATTACCATTGCGAAAGGCAAGCTCCCATCCAGATTAGGTTTTCACTTTGGTATGAGGCTCTGTGCTTTCCTAAATCAAAGCTCCAACCCCTGGAGGCTGGAATGGAATAGTATTTCCTCCCTGTTCATTGAGTCAAGCAGCAGGAATTTGGCAACAGCTGCAGAGCTGCCCACACAGAAAAATAGTGATCTGCTTCCTCTTGTTTGCAGAAATTGGTTCACAGAAAATCTCAAGGCCTTAAACCTGACTGTTTACATGAATTGTTTAACACTTGCTGGTTCAGTTAAACTGATCTAGACCTTTGTAGGAGCAGGCCTTATGAAAGGAGACACTCCAAACTGATTGCAGTCTACAGCCCCATAAGCAGACTACTCCCCTATCCCCATACTCTATACAGGATAGAAGGTTTTTACCTATAGAATACAGCATTTAAGAGCACTTGCTACATGGATAGAGGGAAAAGTACTGGTTTAGCCTCCAAAGCAGAAAAGTAGCTTGTATATATAAGATCATTTACAAAATCAGACTGAGAAGAACTATAACAGCCTTCCCAAGGAGCAGTCTAGCCCTTCTGGTCTTGGACTAATCACTGTCTAATGCCCAAGCACTCCTGACCTTTATTTTTCACCTCCATACCACTCCTCTAGGGGTATAAAGCAGTGGTTGAGTTACAGGTGCCAGGGGAGAATACTGACACTATCTCCACTGTCTAGGTTTTGCTGAAGTCTAACCAAGCACTAACTAACAGGTTGTAGCCACACAAGTTTATGGGGCAGTCACTAGGAAATAGAACGTTAATTAGTAATGGTGCTAGGCTTCAAACTGCTTCTTACAGGCACATATGGATAGAAGGAAAGGTACTGGTTTAGCCTCCAAATGCTGAAATACTTCCCCCTGCTGTTTCCTTTACATACTTGAAGCAAGGTGCATGTACCCCAACGTACGACAGGACATCTGAGATCATACTCAACTCCTCGATGGCTTATGCTATTTTATGAAAGCCTGCAGTAACAGCATACATTACAACTTGTTAGTCAAAAGGTGAACTGTATATTATTAACAGTATATTAATTGTAGCAAACTCGTTCTCTTCCCCTCATATTTGTAACAGGTGTAATACAGTCCTGCTAGTATTGTAATTCAAAGCTTCATTTCTGTTCAATTGGGTGGTGATAAGTGCCTACAGAAGATGTGATCAAGTGGGTTTAAATTTCTGGGAAAGCTCTTCCAAAGCTTCTATTAGCTTCTCTTCCTCCTCTGGTGAAGAATATGTTCTGGCCAGGAGCAAGTGAGTAGAAACAGGTTGCCGGTCTGGGGAGGAGAGAAAGAAAAGAAAAGAGAAAAGAAAAGAAAAAAGAAAGTAGTTAATCTTTCATCTCTCCCAGCACAAAGTGACTCTCTCTCTCTCTTAAACCAGAAACACCAATGCATTTTACCTGCGCACAGAATGATCTTGAGGCCAAAACATTTCCGCAACATTTAAATTCTGTACTTTAAAAAAATATTACTTCATTTATCAAAACAGAATGCACTTCTACTAATTTAATTTTGAATTAGGTACCCAAAAGGTCTGTTCTTGTGAGACTGATTTTATAGATAAGATAAGGACTTGCTTTTTGTAGCCAGACATGAGAAAAAGGCAGGCCCTGTTTACAGAGGAATTAGCCCTGATTTTAGTCATTAGTGTAACTGTATCAGTGCAGTGATTTGCACTGGTGGAGTTTAGCACAGTTTCAAGCAGCAAAACAAACTCTGGCTTTCCTTGTTTTCAGGATGGGGGTTTGCATTTGTGTAGCTATTCCACAGGGTAGAATTGGGTTATTTTATCCTTAAAATACAGAGCTTAGCATTAGCACTATGGAATTAGCTTGCTAAGCACTCAGCCTTTTGTCAAGAGAATAAACTGGTTCTCAATCACAATGCTTGGCCAAACTTGCCCAATAAGACATTCCTTCCTGGTTGCATGAACCTGAGCCTCCTGGTTCAGTCTACCACACAGCTACACCAGTAGAGCACCATGACACAAGGGATAGTACTAACTTTCCATTCCAGATTAACTGTAATTACATACCACCCACAAAGAAGCTGTAGGTCTTTGCCTTAACGCAAGGACCGTGATCACAGATCTTCGTAATGACTTTCTATTTTTTTAAAAAGCAACCTCCGATCACTATGGTGCATTGGAGGAGTATTTCTCCTTCAGCAGTATTGCTAGAATGTTTAGTGAAGTCCAACTTCTGAAGTGGCCAGTTGAGCAGTAGAAAGCTAGTTTATCTTCACCATAGTTACAGCTGCCGTGCTGTAAGCAGGAAGCTGTGAAGAGCTACAGGGTTGTGTACTAGTCTGTTTTGTCATCCATCCTTGCACAAGAATTCAGTTTCAAACACTGTGCTGAGCTCTAGTGGAAGATTTCTATGAAAGCACAGGGGCCTGCCTCATATCCTAAGAGGATAATTTCCAGAAAGGTGAAAATTGTCAGTTGCTTGTGAAGTTAGCATAACAACTCATTGTACATACAGCATTACATCTGTCCACGCTAGGCTGTGTACAGGAAACCAAACATTAAGAGACGCGCTCACTCTTCCTTATGGGGCAGCAATCAATACTACTGGGGGAAGAAAAATATTTGAGAGAATTAGCCTACATGGATACCTGGGAACTGTAGTACTCTACCAAGCCAAAGCTATGGAGGAAACAGCTTCCTGCCTGCCTGCCTGCGCGCTGTCCTGTGAAGTCTCATGAGCAGAGGGGAAGGAATTATTTGAGCTTAGGCCAGCCTACTACCAACTCCCTTCCCTTCCTCAGCAAAGAAGCTGACTGGGGTTTGTACTGAGTATCGATACTGAACAGAATAAGGAAGGTGAAAGATAAGCAGGAGAGGAATGGAAGCAGAACAGCTGCATATTAATCCAGTTTGGGGGTATTTCATTTTATTGTGAGTTGGCAAATAGCTCTCAGGGAACTAAAACAGTAAGGGATGATAATGCACTATTCAGAGTCAAGAGGGGAACCAAGGTGCTGTGCCTGACCCTAAGGGATGATGGCACAGAGAGCATTTAAAAAACAAGTGATTTTCCCAGAGTTGTCAAAAAGAACTGAGCCACTGAGTCCCAGGGTTCCCCAACTGACAAAACAGGGAACAGAGCGTTACTGGGGGCAGACCCAAGAATCTTCGCTCCCCTCTCTAAAGCTGCGGCCCTGCCAAGTGCAAAGCTCATGGGAACACACAGCTCTGGTCAACCTTGAGGATTACAGTCCCGCTGCCTGTTTGCTAAGTCAGTGGGGCAAGCTGGGCAAGGATGAGCTGATGACCCAGAGGAGATGACGACGACGTAGCAGAAAGCATGGTTGGAGCAGACAGAATAGAAATAAGAGGGAGGAAGAGAGATTAAGGACGAAGAAGAGGCAAACCCCTGCTCTACAATGAGGCAGAACACTTGTGTGTGTGCCATTTTGTGCATGAGCCACAGACAAATGAGTCCATCTGAAAATAAATTCCAGTCAGGTTTATGGGCAGCTGATTCAAGCCTTTAGTTTACTGCTCTTGAGGGGTGGGGGACAGTAAAAATCTCTTCATCAACTTTTAAAAACTTGACTAAGGGTCGGTCTGGTACCTGTGGAGAGGAGGGGTCCAAACTTCCCAGATGCCCCAGACTGAATGTACAGGTTGAAAGCAGGCCTTTGTCACACCCAGGAATGCGGGAGGGGGCTTTCTATGGAAAGGGGCCCCAACTCTGGCCTTTCTCCCACATCCTAGATCTGCACTACCCTTAGAGCAGAGGCATTACAAAACCGCTCCTGCTTGAGCACTTACTGTGTGAGTGGCCGAATGGGAATGTTCAAAGCCCTTTCCCACCATCCTCTGCATTAATCCCCCCTGTTCACCAACCTAGCTGCACTTCGATTTCATCTCAGAGTCTGCATTGTTCACACTAACAATCCTGACTCCACCACAGAACTTCAGAAAGGACGACTGTGCACTGTCACCTGGGCACTGTTAATGTGAACAGGAGAAAGAGGGGAGACAAGTGCCCTGAAAATGAATGCAACTCCTCAGTACTCTGTACAGAAGGCAACAGTCCATGGACATCGCTGCGGGCTCACTTGGCTTTGCCACGTCTCTGTCTAATCATGTGCAGAGCCAACTTCAACCCAGATGTTTTATCCAATCAGTGCCAGCCTGGTCGAAAGGGCAGGACCAGCAAAATACCGTCAGTTTGAACAGTTCCATTAGTTATGCAACACTGTGCTTGGCCTTTGGAGTCGCACATTATAAACAATTTCAGGAACTATTTTAACCCTCAACGTAAGACCACTCTGGCCCTTCGGCAAAGTCAATAATTGTACAATCAGTGCAGTAATAGCACTCTTTCTTCAGGTTCAGTGTATGAAACTGCCACCTTACCTTGGAAGAACAGGCCGCTTGTTTGCTTAGCTGCTGCAGGTGAGACTGCCAGCCACACCACTGTATCGGCTCCCTGAGCCTCTGTGCGCAGTTTGTTCTTCATTTTTTCATAGAATTCTGGCATCGCTGATCTCACCGCTACAGTGAAGAATAATGTAAGGGTGGTGAGTCAATCAAGGCTTTTTGCTAAGGAGCTTTTTAAAGGTTAAAATGGTAATAGTAGTGTGAAAACCAATGACCTTTTAAAATCAGGGAAAGGAGACACTATTGTCCCTCGGATGGCAGAGTTACTGTGATGTTAGGTTGCCAAAAGATGAACCAGACATTTCTCATTGTTTGGACTAAAGTGTACAGAGACAGTCAAAAGGCTGAGAGACTAAGAATCAAAAAGAGGGAGAAGTGTTCCCCAGTTCTGTTATTTGGTCCTGTTCAAAGTTGACTGGATGCAGAACGTGAGAAAACAAATGATGGAAATATCTGGGGATTTAGCTCTTATTTTCATTGATTTTATGATGATGACTATGCTAGAAATAATGAGACTGACTTTAACAAGTATAGTCCTGAGTTATTGTATAAGCACATAGCAAAAAAGCAGACGTGGAAAATAATATTCCCTAAGCTACACACACTGCATTTAAACTGCTTAAGCGTGAAGTAAAATGCTGGGCAAGGAAAGATGAAGCCTATATTTTCAATCAGCAGAAAACTGCAGGAGGGTGTGGAGAGTCACATGATCAGAGGGTGTTGGGGAGCTCCCTATGTGGCAGTACCAGCCCCTACATGTGTAAAGGGATATTCTGAAGCCTATTAAGAAATTACATTCTACAGAGTGTAAAGATAAGGGAAGGTGACTAGACAGTGTCCTTTGATCGAGGGTGGAAATTCTTCACCATGTATCAATCCCCTTAACAAGGCAGAATAAGCTGAAATCCAAGGGGGGTTGAACTATAGGGGTGGTGTGGGTGAGCAATACAAGATACTGAAGTGCACAGTTTGAACTGGTAGTTTCCAAGCTCTACCGCGGGGGGGTGGGGGGTGGGTGGGAAGGAGGAAGAATTGCGGGAGCGGGTCAGACTAGAGTCGAGACCTGCATCCCCAGCTCCATCTGATCTCAGACTCCCTGTAAAACAGGACAGCAGAGGGTTCTAAAACGGCCACTTTCCAGAAATTTAAACTGAACAGATCAGTGGACCTGTGAGACAAATTTACAGTAATGTCATATTACAATTCAATTTTAGACTAAGACTGGAAGGGGTAAGTGTCTTTAGCAGACTGTACCTGGTGTATCTGCCCAACCAGGATGCATGGCAGAGAAATGGATGTTTTTGTGCACCTTAGCCCATTGTTCTGTCAAGACTACTTGCTGTCTCTAGGATACAACAAAAAATGCCATACTGGAAAAGAGCTATGATCCATTTAGTCTGTTATCCTGTCTCACAGTAGCCAATTCCAAATACTCCCAATACACCCATAATGCACTGTAATTATCAGGTGGCAGGCAATATGGAAAATACCTGTACCACTCATACATTGGGGAAACAGCAATCCGTTAGATAATGTTAGAGAGACAAGGTGGGTGAGGCCATACCTTTTATCAGACCAAGTTTTGTTGGTGAAAGAGACAAGCTTTCGAGCTCGATAGAGCTCTTCTTCAAGATAACGTTGTCAGAAACCACTGTAGAGTGGTAAAGGCAACCTACTTACGCAGCAATAGGTATTAACCCTTAGGTTTGTTTTTTTAGTAAAGCTTTTTGCTAACGTAAGTTCAGGAAGCTTTCATTCACCATCTTCATTTTCTGCAGGCTAGATATAGAGGTAGAAATGGAATGAGAAAAAAAACAAAACACTAATCTAGGCTAATTTTCTGCTTAACCCCCTCTATAAAATATTTGGGGTTGGGTCAAACTAAAACACTCCTATTGCTCTCACAAAGTGTAATCATCACCCCCTCCGCAAGCATCTCTGTAATCTTTACTGTAATAGGCAACATTCATTTCAGTTCCAGCAGGAGATGAACTGTATTGATAAGAAAGGTTGCATACTGCACTATATCTAGTTTAGACACAGTGAAAATAGCCATCCGATTTGCAGTCTACTTTAAAGGAAGCTGTATCCCACTGTCTGTCTGATCCAAGTTTTAGGGTTTACTTTCAAATCCACATACTGTACCTTGTTTTGGGCATAGACCATAGTACCATCAAATGTTATGTTTTCGGACTGCAAATCAGATACATCTAATTTCTGAACCAACATCCCTCCTGAAGAGACAATTATCTGTAATAAATTAAGTGAATGTAAAAAGCCAATCCCCCACGTTCACTGAGATTGTCTTAAGGCCCACTAATGAAGTTACACTGCATGCAAGATTTTTCTGTTCTACTCTTTTTACACTCTGCCTGTAGAAGAGGACCATCACACCTGTACCACAAAGCGTACCTGGAGAGCTGACAAAGGAAAGGTCAAAAATGGGAGTAGATCCTCATTCAAAATGCTCTTGGCCCCACTAGGGACCTGCTCATGTTTTTATCTTATCACAATCGCTAATAAAGGGACAGAACAGGGATAGACTTTTTAATTCACTGATCCAGGACCAGCACTGGGAAAAGCCAATCAGTTTTTTCTTATTTAGATACAGGCACATTAAAAGGCCTGACGTGCATTTCTAATCCTGGCAGGTTACAAGACAGCAAACCTGAAAATACAGGTGGCAGCTCATTTATTAGAACATTTTTCAATTATTTCGTATAAATATTGAATGCTTCATAATAAAATGTCCCCTTTTGCACCAAAGTGTAGAAGGCAACTTTAACTCTACGCTCCTGTTATAGGTGTTTTACTGTGCTGCAGGAGTTAATATGGTGTAGAGAAATAGCAATCTCTGAATAAGGTATTTTATCTACTTCACTGGCCACTGTAGCTCCTGTGCCATTTAGAAAGATGTTACAAAACAGCAGGATAGAACTCAGATTTTGAATGGACAATGACTATTTATTAGAGTCTAAAAATGTGCTAGGCACATGACAGAAGAGTAACAAGTACCAGGGCAGCAAACATCATGTACACAATCAAAGAGGAAAGAGACATTGCCACAAAACACAAAAGGAGTGTAGTAAAAACAACAGTTTAAAAAAAGCATTATAAACTCACAACTCTGGGATCATCTTCTTTTTCCAGCAAAGGCAGTAGAGCAGTTGTAAGAATGTATGCACCTAAAAGAAAGGGAAACAAGAACATTTCACCAAAAACAAGTTGCTCCAAATACTGACTAATATGTAAAAACCCTCCATTTCTCAGCCATTTGGTATAAAGAATCAAGAGTCTTAATAGGTCTCTGACTTTACAAATTATGAATAAAATGTATGTCTTGTTCATCATTACAAAGACATATTCAGAGTACAAAGATTTTTTAAAAGTCTTTTCTATACAATATTAGACTGCTAACTACATTCTAGTCATAATTCTAAAGACAATACAGTTTACTAGGGAAAAAAACATGCCAGAGACAACTCACAACTGTGGCAGACAGACATTTCTACTTTCTCCCCCTAAAATAACTTAAATACCCCCATATTCCAATTACTGCAATTGAGTGTTGTGCAGAAAACTGCCTGCTCGTTTACAATGAGGGGTAAGTGCGTGGCGGGGGTGAGTAAAGCGGGGGTACCATGAAGGGGAGAGGGTGTGTGTGTCACTGCCTGTTGAGGTTGCCTGACACTTCATTATAAAACCCCGTTTTCAGTTGCTGATAAATTGGCCAAATTTTAACTGTTTGAAATTTACAATGCTAAGTGCCTGCCTCAGGCTTTTTGTTTTTGTTCCCCCCCTGAAGACAATTCAGCTGTTTCCATGATCAAAAAGGTAGAGAAAAACATGTTTTGCCAAGTTTAAATTCTGGAGCTTTTTTATTTGAGAGGCACTAGTGCCCTAATGCTCCGAAGCAGGAACTTCAAATTTAGCAGTGCGTGGCCAGTGAGTTGAGGATGTGCCTTTTGCCATCTCTGTGAAAATCTGGCCAAATCTGGAGAAGTTACATGCTTTCATGGGGCGGGACCAGGAGAGAGAAAGGGTTAGGAATCACAGCTTGCAAATACTCAGACAAGACTTGCTAGAACACAGCTAAAAATCTCCAATATTCCATCCTCAATGGGCAGCATGCTCCAGCCCGTGTCTGAGCAGGTCTTTCCCTGCAGCTGCAGCTCTGGGCTGCTGCAGGCCATGTCAGAACCAGGGACCTAAACTGAGAGTAGGAAGCCTTTCTCTCCTGTGCTCTCAACGCTCCATACAGCTGATGCCCCGGCAGTGAAAAGGAAGCTGACTGATTCCAATACAGAGAGAGGATAAGTGATGGACTAGGGGAGGAGGAAAGTCAAGAGAATTAAATTGGAACCAGGAACCTAGGCCAGAGGAAACTAGGACTGGGAGTTTTGGCAAAGGAGGGGGAAGACAGACTAGCTGGGCAAGAGGAATGGATGAAAATCATGGAGACTGGGACCAGGAGCAGCCATTTTGCTGCATAGGGCAATAACGTTTTTGGCACGCCCTGCCAAGCAGGCAAGCCAAAAAAAGTGGCTGGCCAATCAAAGTGGAGCAAAGACAGAGCGGAGCAAAAATATAAAAATAGAAAACACCCCAGCATCACACCAGTTCAGTGGCCTCGAAGTTGGTACCTAGGGTGATTGCCCTGCTCACCTAGCCCTAGAACCACCCCTGACTGGGACTGTAGAGAAGAGGAGTCTGGGATAAGGAGCAAAGGGCAGGGAAGAGACAGGAGTGGGACAGGGACCAGTTGTGTTTTTTCACACCCAAGCGAGAAAGTTTCAGCACTGTAAAGTGCCAGTGTAGACAAGGGCTAACCCTTGTTCTCTAGTTCTATGAAAATAAACAAACAATTTTCATATGAATTAGTGAGGCCACATTTTTCACTGTTATACAGACAAACATGTTTCTTTGCAACTCAGAATGATCTCAACACTTTTGTGGCTGAAAGGTTGCAATACAGCACATTGATCAACATGTTACAGAATTTTAAAGTATTACATTCCACTTGAGCAATCTGCTCAGTACCCTTGTTCATCCATAACAGATCTAACTTTTCCTATACTCATTTGGACCCCCATGAATAATTAGAACACACAAAATAAAATCAAACAAAGTGAATGCACTTGAATGAGTTAGCACAATCTGTCTTGAGCAAAAAGTACAAGCAGAAGCTGTGGTCAGTAAGGAAGAATGTCAGTAACAAAGGAGAATGTAACAGTCTCTCACTGCTAGGGACCGGAAGACTGAAAAATAACAGCAAAGCAAGATCTCTTGATTGTCATTGGTTGTTCCCAATGAGTTAAACAGAGCTCTAATAACCCACAATCCTGGTTTAAAAACTTTCATTTTGATAGGGACTCTTCAAATCCAAAGGAAGATCAAATTTGTGTTAACTGACTTCATTCCCAAAATCCTGAGGTGCAGCCCACCTGCCAACACTTAATTTAGTTGTCTCCAGGATTAATTTGCATTTTTAAAGATGGCAGGTTTTTGTTTACAAGTTCTGAAGAGGTGTGAAGATGAAGAGGAACATTGTTCATCATTCAAGGCCTTCGGTCCAGCAAGTGTTTTTAGCCTTGTAAGAGAAACAAATCCTGAAGGCTAAGGAGACTGATTGTGACAAAGGGCTGGCTCATCACGTAAGTTTTAATAATCAACCACTCAAACCCTAATTTATCTTCCTCCAGTTTAAGAGGAGAATTTAATATCAGAATTAAGCAACCAAAGCACAAAAAAGAGTAGAGATTATAGTCTGCAAAAACAGAAATTCAGAGTTGTTGTTCCATGTAGCTGCTTATGCATTTGCTTTGAGGTAAGATGTGAAAATAAAGATTTTGCTCTAGGTGTCATTAGGCAGATGCTGCTACATAACACACTGATGGGAATGGTCAGGCCTCAAAAGACCCAGATCTTCAGCCATTGCTATGTAATTCCCTGACTGGTGTCCCAAGCCTAATTATCTTGATACCAATTACTCCGCACTTTGACACAGAAGTATGGTGTATAATAATCACTCCAGCTGGCACAGACTGCTTTGTTAAGAGAAATAACTCACCCTCAAATAATTAAAACAAGGAATAAAGATTATTTGGTGCATATTCTAGTTGAAGTCTCCACTATTTTAAACCCACATACTTTCAACTAAAAAATTCTTATACAGTTTGACAGTTATGTACAAACACAAAAGGCCAACCTAGTCTACAAAATTCAGCTAACATCACATAGGGTTTTGTTACACGATTGCATACTATAGAGCAAATATTTTACAATTGTGGACAGGCTACAGCCTAAATTGACAGCAATATAGATGTAGAATTTCCATTGAGTGATGGGGGGTGGGTGGGTGGGAGTGAATAAATGGGAAGTCATGCTGCCTTGCAAAATAGTATTATGAATCACAAACAGTAGTGAAAAGAAATGAGGAAAAAACATCCCCTCCTTAAATATTTTGTACATTACTTTCTCCACAGAGAAATAACTGCTAGAATTTTAGTTTGGTGGAAGAGAATTTAGAAAGATTGATCAAGATTTCCACCATTAAGGAAAAGCAAGGCAAAATTTCTGAAACTTAACTTTGAGTTGATTGTGCACTTTCATAATTAATAAATAGTAACTCCACATCTATTATGTTTTCATCTTTTTTTAAAATAAGCCAATACCCAAATATACAAATAACCCACAACAGACTTCTGCATACAGGCACAGGGGAAAGATACACAAAACCAAACTGAACTTGGTAAATACATAAAGTAAAGTATAAACAATACTAAGATCTATAGGAATGAACCATATCCATTAAGAGAAATGAGTAAAAATATTGAACAATCCAAAAACGATTATTAAGAAAAAAGGATAAAACATAGGTTAAGTGAAATGTAGATGGTAGTGAACAGAAAGTGCAATGTGAAATTACTACCACTGAAAGGCATTAGATATGCAGTATCTTAGGATATGTCTACACTACGAAATTAGGTCGAATTTATAGAACTCAATTTTTTAGAAGGCGATTTGGCGTGTCCCCACACTAATGCACTAAGCGCATTAAGTCGGCAGAGTGCGTCCACAGTACCGAGGCTAGCATAGACTTTCGGAGCATTGCACTGTGGGTAGCTATCCCACAGTTCCCGTAGTCTCCGCCACCCATTGGAATTCTGGGTTAAGCTCTCAATGCCTGTTGGGGCAAAAACATTGTCACAGGTGATTTTGGGTACATGTCAGTAGCCCCCCCTGTGAAAGCAATAGCAGACAATCATTTCACGCCATTTTTCTGTGCAGGCGCCATACTGCTTTCAGCAGATGGTGCAGTAGGACTGCTAACCGTCGTTGTCGTCATCCACCGCTTCCACTGCCACTCTGCTCTCCTGGTGGTCTCGCAGGGCCGCTTCCGCTGCAACTCTGCTCGGCTGCCCTTGTGTCGCCATACCACGGCAAGCGTGCACCCCACTCAGCTGTTGTGTTCTGGCAGCAGACGGTGCAGAAGATCTACAAAACTTGTCATCCAACCACCGCTTCCCCTGCGGTCCTGCTCTCCTGCAGACACCATACCACGGCAAGCATAGAGCCCGCTCAGATCACCGCAGCAGTTATGAGCATTGTAAACACCTCACGCATTATCATGCGGTATATGCGGAACCAGAAACTGCAAAAGCATGCGAGGAGGCGATGGCAGCGCGGTGATGAGAGTGATGAGGACATGGACACAGACTTCTCTCAAAGCACGGGCCCCAGCAATTTGGCCATCCTGGTGGCAATGGGGCAGGCTCATGCCATGGAACGCCGATTCTGGGCCCGGGAAACAAGCACAGACTGGTGGGACCGCATAGCGTTGCGGGTCTGGGATGATTCCCAAGGGCTGCAAAACTTTCGCATGCGTAAGGACACTTTCATGGAACTTTGTGACTTGCTTTCCCCTGCCCTGAAGCACAAGAATACCAAGATGAGAGCAGATCTCACAGTTCACAAGCGAGTGGTGATAGCCCTCTGGAAGCTTGCAATGCAAGACAGCTACCAGTCAGTCGGGAATCAATTTGAAGTAGGCAAATCTACTGTGATCCAAGTAGCTAACGCAATCACTGAGCTGCTGCTATCAAGGGTAGTGACTCTGAGAAACATGCAGGTCATAGTGGATGGCTTTGCTGCAATGGGATTCCCTAACTGTGGTGAGGCCATAGACGGAACCCATATCCCTATCTTGGCACCGGAGCACCAAGCCAGCGAGTACATAAACCGCAAGGGGTACTTTTCAGTGGTGCTGCAAGCACTGGTGGATCACAAGGGTCGTTTCACCAACATCAATGTGGGATGGCCGGGAAAGGTACATGACGCTCGCATCTTCAGGAACTCTGGTCTGTTTCAAAAGCTGTAGGAAGGGACTTTATTCCCAGACCAGTAAATAACCGTTGGGGATGTTGAAATGCCTATAGTTATCCTTGGGGACCCAGCCTACCCCTTAATGCCATGGCTCATGAAGTCTCACACAGGCAGCCTGGACAGTAGTCAGGAGCTGTTCAACTACAGGCTGAGCAAGTGCAGAATGGTGGTAGAATGTGCATTTGGATGTTTACAAGCGCGCTGGTGCAGTTTACAGACTCTGTTAAATCTCAGCGAAACCAATATTCCCAGTGTTATTACTGCTTGCTGTGCGCTCCACAAGATCTGTGACAGTAAGGGGGAAGATGTTTATGGCAGGGTAGGTGGTTGAGGCAAATTGCTTGGCCACTGGTTACACGTAGCCAGGCACCAGGGCGTTAGAAGAGCACAGGAGGGTGCGGTGCACATCAGAGAAGCTTTGAAAACCAGTTTCATGGCTGACCAGGCTACAGCATGACAGTTCTGTTTGTTTATCCTTGATGAAACACCCTGCCCCCCCTTGGTTCACTCTACTTCCCTGTAAACCAACTGCCCCCCCTTCCTCCTTCGATCACTGCTTGCGGAGGCAATAAAGTCATTGTTGTTTCAAATTCATGCATTCTTTATTAATTCATCACACAAATAGGGCCAAAGTAGCCCGGGAGGGGTGGGGGAAAGAGGGAAGCACCGGGTGGGGTGGTGGATGAGGAGAGGAGGGAAGGACAAGGCTACACTGCACTTCAAAACTTACTGAATACCAGCCTTCTGTTGCTTGGGCAGTCCTCTGAGGTGGAGTGGTTGGGTGCCCCGAGGGCCCCCCCGCGTTCTTGGGCATCTGGGTGAGAAGGCTATGGAACTTGGGGAGGAGGGCGGTTGGTTACACAGGGGCTGCAGTGGCAGTCTGTGCCTTTCCTGCACCTCAATCATACGCCAGCGCATATCAGTTTGATCCTCCAGTAGTCTCAGCATTGCATCCGGCCTCCTTTCATCACACTGCTGCCACCTCTCCTGTTGCTCCAGCCATCTGTCCTCGTGTTCATTTTGTGCTTTCCTGGACTCTTCCATTTTCTGCCTCCACACATTTCTGCTGGGCTCTTTCAGTTTCGGTGGACTGCATGAGCTCAGAGAACATTTCATCGCAAGTGCATTTTTTTCGCCTTCTTATCTGCGCTAGCCTCTGGGACGGAGATGCTAGTTGCAGCGTTGAAACATTTGCAGCTGTGGGAAGAAAAAAAAGGGAGCTTAAAACTGAAAAAGACACATTAGTCATTTAAAAAAGGAGGGGCTGATGTTTTCGGCTTAACATGCAGCACAAACCCAACTAACCCCCCACACACACACCCAATCCTCTGGGATGATTGCTTCACCCCTCCCCCCACCGCGTGGCTAACAGCGGGGAACATTTCTGTTCAGCCACAGGCAAACAGCCCAGCAGGAATGGCCACCTCTGATGTCCCCTTAAGAAAAGCATCCTATTTCAACCAGGTGACCATGAATGACATCACTCTCCTGAGGATAACACAGAGAGATAAAGAACGGATGTTGCTTGAATGCCAGCAAACACCGGGACCACACGCTGCAATGCTTTCTTATTCAATGATTCCAAACTACGTGCTGCTGGCCTGCCATGGTAAAGTGTCCTACCATGGAGGACGCAATACAGCTGCTCTCCCCAGAAACCTTTTGCAAAGGCTTTGGGAGTACCTCCAGGACAGCTTCATTGAGATGTCCCTGGAGGATTTCCGCTCCATCCCCAGACACGTTAACAGACTTTTCCAGTAGCTGTACTGGCTGCCAATGCATCCCAAGTCTTCAGGGCAAAGTAATAATTAAACATGCTTGCTTTTAAACCGTGTATTATATTTACAAAGGTACACTCACCAGAGGTGTCTTCTCCTCCTTCAAGGTCCAGTTGCCCGGGTTGGGAGGGTATTGGATCCAGGGTGATAAACAGTTCCTGGCTGTTGGAGAGAACGATTTCTCTGCTTGCCTGGTGTGCGCTATCTACCTCGTCCCCAAAATCCTCATCCCTGTTGCGTGAGACTCCCCCCTTGCAGGAGTCCACGTACAGTTGTGGGGTAGTTGTAGGGGCACCCCCTAGAATTGCATGCAGCTCATCATAGAAGCGGCACGTCTGGGGCTCTGACCCTGAGCAGGCATTTGCCTCTTGGGTTTTTTGGTAGGCTTGCCTAAGCTCCTTAAGTTTCACGCGGCACTGCTGCGGGTCCCTGTGGTAGCCTCTGTCCTTCGTGCCCTTGGAGTTTTTTTCAAATATTTTGGCATTTCGTCTTTTGGAACGGAGTTCTGATAGCACGGATTCGTCTCCACATATAGCGATCAGATCCAGTACCTCCTGTTCGGTCCATGCTGGAGCTTTTTTGCTATTCGGGGACTCCATGGTCACCTCTGCTGATGAGCTCGCCACACTGACCAAACAGGAAATGAAATTCAAAAGTTCGTGGGGCATTTCCGGTCTACCTGGCCAGTGCATCCAAGTTGACAGCGCTGTCCAGAGCGGTCACAATGGAGCACTGTGGGTAGCTCCCGAAGGCCAATACCGTCGAATTACATCCACACTAACCCAAATTCAATCCGGCGATGTCGATTTCAGTGCTAATCCCCTCGTCAGGGAGGAGTACAGAAATCGATTTTAAGAGCCCATTAAGTTGACAAAAATGGCTTTGTTGTGTGGATGGGTACAGGGTTAAATCGATCTAATGCTGCTAAATTCGACCTAAACTCATAGTATAGACCAGGGCTTACAGGAGGTCCTATATAAAGTAGAAGAGATCCAGGTGGTTATCCACATTACGTCCCTCACTCTTTTCATTCATTCAGAAAGAGGGCAGTGATTCAGTGACAAAAGAAGATTCTTTTTAAAAAAGAGCTAGAGTTCTTAATGCTGTGGGAGTATTTTGGAATGTGTATCCGCATCTAACTCAAGAAACTATAGTTTCAAGGAAGGCAACAAGGAGAAATGAATTGCATTAGAAACGGGTTACATACTTCTGTCCAAAGGGGAGATGTATTTATTTTTTAATCAAAGTGCCACAAGAGAGGCCGGAGTCTATTAAGATCTCTTCAGGCTCTTATTAGGTAGTAAGTGACACAGTGTGAAGACTGTCTAGAGAAAATTAAGCCAGCCACAGCACTGTCCCACAAAATGAGGTTTGTTACAGCAGTAGCTGATCATGCCTTCTGGAGTTAAAGTGGAGTTGTTCAACACATTGACACAGATTTCTTTTTAAAAAGAAACACAGGAGTCTGAATATTTCTTTGGGAGAAATCCACTAGTTTTATTTCTGTAAACTGAACTCACACAATAATCAATGGTGCATAATATAGTGCTGTTACATCCTTTTCAATAAGTAGACAGATGAGCACAGCTCATGTTTGGAAACTATTTAGCAATGGCTCACATGAGAACCTAGATAATATAGGTTAAAGTTCAGTGAGTTATACACTGCCATTCCAGAGTAGTTGGTATGTCAGTAAGAACACAATATATTTTAAAATAAATTATGTGTGTTAAAGTAAACACAAAAAATACCACACGTTTTCTAATGGTATGTTCCATAATTGCCCCAATTACTCTGAGATCCTCTCATCGATTTATGGAATTTGATATCATGCTCTAATTAGCATCTCCCATTTTGGTAATTCCACACAGTTAAACACACAGCAGTAAAACTGTATGCCTCCATGCTCAGTGTTTTGTGATCACATTGCGAGACCCTCATAATGCTAGAGTTCTAAAATTATGATGATTTCTTATATTGACATTTCTGGTTTCCATCCTAGATTTTGTTGGTTTAAAAATCTCAATTTTAATTTTTAAATAAAATGATTTTTCAATTCACCTGTTGTGAAATAGAAGCTGAAGGCACTCCGATGAAATGACAGTATTGCTGAAATGCGGTTTGTAAATTCTTGCAGAAATTTTCAGTCACTGCAGATTGCACTAGTTCTATAGCAATACATTAGTGGGAAAGCTACTCCCAACCAGTGTCTTAGCCGGCTATGTTGTATTAGGACACCGATTCTTTCTATATAAGGCTACAAAAATTTATCCTGAGCTAGACTACGGATCTAAACAAAATGTGCATCAGCCCAAGTGCCAATGTCCTGAAAGCAGATTTCAAAAATGCCTTCAAGTCAACATTTTAATATGCTACTAGTTAAAACAACCAGATTTTACATACTTAAAACTTGAAGATTGCCAGGATAGAATATGCAAAACTGTACATGAGAATATTCTTTCCTACCTGCTGTACTGCATTTGTATAGAATGACCCAAAAATCTTGGGTTTCAAAATTGATTTATAAAGTAAATTAGGGCTTCTGCAAGAGGAAAAGTGTAAAGCTGCTGCCTGTTTATAATATTAAATTAATTGATGATGCAATCACTGCAGACCAAAATGTCCTGGGAGCATGCCGGAATAGTTTTCTCTTGATGTTCTACTTGGCAATTAGAGTTAAGTTGTTGGTGAAGTTTTTAATTCTCTACCATTCAGACAATGGCAGGCAGCCAACACCACACTCAGTGGAGTTTTCCCCATCTGCCCATGCTTTGCAGCATATCGACAACAGTGTTATTTCAACTGTGGAAAAAGAGTGGGAACAAAAATAATCTTTGCTTATACAGGTTTCAATGGTTCATTCATCTGGTAAATTCATTGTTAAAAAAATGAATGGGCTTGCTCTTGCCACAGCCAAGTATTTTTAAATGGAGTACACAGAAGGTTTTCCTTGAACTGTTTATTTTTTTGAGGCCTCTTGTTTATAAAGTTCCCTATGAGGAGACAGCTACAGGCCAGTTCTCTCAACCAGGAAATCAGAATTCCAGATTTTAGTACACTATTCTTTAAGGGCCCAATCTGCCAGCCCAGCACAAGAAAGGGGAGTGAAAGGTAGAACGTGTGCGAAAGACAAGACACCGGTTGACATTTCCTTTATACCACAAAGCTGTGCTTAGTAAGGGTTCTCTCTGCCCTGGTATGTAGGGAGGTGATACAGCCAGTGGCTATGTGGATTATTAAACAACACCACTCTAATGTAAGACTTCATCTGTAGATCTCAAAGCATTTTACAGCAGCGGGCAAGTATTCCCATTTTACCGATGTGGAAATGGCGGCACAAAGAGTGGAGGTGACTTGCCCAATGTCATGCAGCAGACCAATGACAGATCTGGGAGCTCCTGAATCCAAATAGTCTAGTGCCCTATCCACTAGGCAGCACTGCCTGCCAGGATTCACTAGCCAGACCCATTTTGGGGAGAAATGGGTTTGCAAGCTGTAACAGAGGCTAGAGTAGTTACCGTTGAGGAACCGTGCTGCATTCTAGGGCCTGAGAGGAGGATCCTTCCCCATGCCCTACCTATTATTTTGACTGAAAACTGGGAAGAGGATGTGGCTTGAACTATTAAATTAAGAAAAAAACGATAGTGAAGCAAAGGGGGTTTAGGTTCAGTTGGAGTGAGGAATGGAGACTTACTGTATTCTATGAGCATCTCCTCTCAGCTTCCAGTGTGTTTTCGTGCTCCCTCCGCCAGTAAGTGCCAATAAAAATGAATAGATGTACTATTCTCTCATGCTGGAGTGAAGAGACATGACATGTAAAAATGAAGTAAGAACTTCCCTTGTTCCAGTACTTTACAGGCCTTGTTTCAACTGTGAAAGATGGTCTTTAATGCACCAGCAAGCAACAGTGCTGAGTCCTCTATCCATCCGCCTCCACTGACAGCTTACACACGGATTGAACACTGTCAGCTGGGATCATCATCTTGCAGTGGCTGGCTTCAAAAAGGCAAATGCTGACTAGGAAGCCTGTATGTCACATCAGAAGAAATCACTGCTTATCAGTGCAGCAGCTCCTTGACAAAATGGCCACACCACGTACGAGTCCAACCTCTAGAATGAGATTTAAGCTCAACCACATCTGAGACAAAGGACAAAAGCAACAAGAATTCTCTATGTACATATGCTGCTACATAAGAAACCATTTTGAACTGCCTCCAACCATCTATATGATCTCAGCCTATCAACATCACTGGTTAATTGCTGCATTCAGTTTAACACTCATATGTAAGTACTGTTTCTATACTACAGTATTAATTCTACACAGCTGCACGGCAGTCACTACGGATTGATCATTCTTTTACTTCAATTGTGTTCCAGTAAATAGAGCACTAACTCTTTGTTGTCTAGCTGGTAACAAGGGGCGAGGCATTAAGAGCAATAACAGCTATACAATTACAATGAACCACACAGTATTTATTTCTACTGTGGTACTGCCTACAGTGCCACTGTACTATGAACATATAGGAAGACCGTGCCTGCTCACAAGTTTACAAATCAACAATTTTAGCTTAGACACTTTTAAAAAAAGCCATCTAGACACAAAACCCAATTGTGTGCAAGTGTGCACTCTGCCCACCGACACACCCCATTTCCCTTTGCCCTACCAGCTTTCACTCATGTAGAAAAGTAGGGCCAATTCTAGAAACTTGTATTCACATGAGTAGTCCTTACTTAGCCCTGGTCTACACTAGGAGTTGAGGTCGAATTTAGCAGCGTTAAATAGATTTAATCCTGCACCCGTCCACGTGACGAAGCCCTTTTTTTAAAGCTTAAAGGGCTCTTAAAATCGATTGCTTTACTCCACCCCCAACAAGGGGATTAGCGCTGAAATCAGCCTTGCCGGGTCGAATTTGATGTACTGTGGATGCAATTAGGCAGTATTGGCCTCCAGGAGCTATCCCAGAGTGCTCCATTGTGACCGCTCTGGACAGCACTCTCAACTCAGATGCACTGGCCAGGTAGACAGGAAAAGGCCCACAAACTTTTGAATTTCATTTCTTGTTTGGCCAGCGTGGCGAGCTGCAGGTGAGTGCAGAGCTCATTAGCGGAGGTGACCATGCAGAGCTCATCAGCAGAGGTGACCATGATGGAGTCCCAGAATCACAAAAGAGTGTCAGCATGGACCGAACAGGAGGTACGGGATCTGATCGCTGTATGGGGAGAAGAATCCATGCTATCAGAACTCCGTTCCAGTTTTCGAAATGCCAAAACATTTGTCAAAATCTCCCAGGGCATGAAGGACAGAGGCCATAACAGGGACCCAAAGCAGTGCCACGTGAAACTTAAGGAGCTGAGGCAAGCCTACCAGAAAACCAGAGAGGCAAAAGGCCACTCCGGGTCAGAGCCCCAAACATGCCGCTTCTATAATGAGCTGCATGCCATTTTAGGGGGTTCAGCCACCACTACCCAAACCCTGTGCTTTGACTCCTTCAGTGGAGAGGGAGGTAACACGGAAGCAGGTTTGGGGAACGAGGAAGATGATGATGATGATGATAGCTCACAGCAAGCAAGCAGAGAAACCGGTTTTCCCCGACAGCCAGGAACGGTTTCTCACCCTGGACCTGGAGCCAGTACCCCCGGAACCCACCCAAGGCTGCCTCCTGGAACCGCCAGGCAGAGAAGGAACCTCTGGTGAGTGTATCTTTTTAAATAGGATATATGGTTGAAAAGCAAGTGTGTTTAATGATTAATGTGCCCTGGCATTCGCGGCCAGTACAGCTACTGGAAAAGTCTGTTAACGTGTCTGGGGATGGAGCAGAAATCCTCCAGGAACATCTCCATAAAGATCTCCTGGATGTACTCCCAAAGCCTTTGCAAAAGGTTTCTGGGGAGGGCAGCCTTATTCTGTCCACCTTGGTAGGACACTTTACCACGCCAAGCCAGTAGCACGTAGTCGGGAATCATTGCAGAACAAAGCATTGCAGCGTATGCTTGCTGGCATTCAAACAACATCCATTCTTTATCTCTGTGTGTTATCCTCAGGAGAGTGATATCATTCATGGTCACCTGGT